CTAGAGGCTTGGTGCATGGATTTGTGCACCAGTGGGGTCCCTCAGCCTGGCCTGCAGGGATCAGGCGAAACCAGCTCTCCAACATCCCCCAAAAGGTCCTGGATTGCAAGTAGGCACAGGCTAGGCCAAGGGACCCCAACGGAGCACAATCAGGGCTGGGGAGGGACCACAGGAAGGCTCCAGGATGTGTCTGGTCCATCTTGCCCAATCCTGATTTGTCAGACCCCAGTAGCAAGCTAACCTACTGGTTGGAGCATCTGCCCCATTGGTCAGTGCACATCATAGTGACTGGTCGAATGGTCGAATGGTAGGACACTTAGCATATTAGGCTCTTATTATATAGGATATCACAATCTAATAAAAGTTCATTATGAAATTTTAAAAATGGCTGCATGGTTCTCTTTTATGAAAGTGGCTTATAAGTAAAATAAATAACTATATTAAAATGTTTACAATGTATAGATAACAACATTGAAGACTTTTAGACTTTTAGGTTATGTGAAAAGTCAAAATCACAAAGTGGCATCTTTTACTCAGTGATACTTATTCCGATAGCATTTCATTTTAAAACCATAATAATGACAAAATGGAACCATTTGGATGTAAAAGTGATGTGCAGACATCAGATCAGCTCTGTTCTGGAGGCAAGAAAGGGAGTGTCTCTGTTCTCTGGGCGATGATGTGCCATGGCCCTGGCAGAGTGTGTCTGTAGATGGTGGAGGCAAGGCCATGTGCAGGCACAACATGAACTGCTTTTTATGTGAAGAGAAAAGAGCTTCCCTTCCAAGAAAAACATTAAAAACTTCTATGTATGTTTATTACCAATTATGGGTCTCAAAATTGCCTTTTCACATTTTTTAGAAAATTCTTATTTATAGGACAAAGAAGTCATCCTAAGTACTTTTTTGTGTGTGTGTTTGTTTGTTTTTCAGTTACAGATGACATTCAATATTATATTAGTTTCAAGTGTACAGATAACTTCAGGGCTTCACTTCAGATTGAGGTGAAGAGTCAGCAGAGTTCTTACCCTACATCCTCAAGTGGCTGTTGTCTCAGACATACATCCTCAGCCTCCCTGCTCAAAGCATCCTCACCAGACCCTACGCATTCCTAAGCAGACCATAATATACCAGAGAACCATAGTGCAGAATGTTTTAGTCACATATGACACTCATACTGACCCCCACACACTGATTTTAAATTTCCCATTGCCAAAAGTTTCCTTATAACCTCCTATAGAGATGGGACACTTTCCCAACTCTTCTTGCACAGGGAAGATTCATGGAATTATGATTTTTTTTATTTCAACCAACTCTTTAAAAAGTCAACTGAATCATACCCACAGTTTTCACTGAGCAGAAAGAAAGGCATTTTGCGTTTACCTTTGATCTCACTTCTGAAATACCTCTAAAAGTTGCTTCTTGCCTTGGACTTCACAGCCTCTGTCTTCTCCCTCTCATCTCCTCTGCTGACCAAAGAGCCTCTTATCATTACTAGCAGATGCTGATTCAGGAACAGTCATCCATTTATTGTTTGTGCCATTTTTCCTCTTCTGCTTTTGTAGGTGTCCTGCCTGCCTTCCAAGCTTACCTACAACCAGCCTTCTTTGCAAACCCAATGTGATTGAGCTCATTATCCCAACTTCTTCCAACACGCAGACCTGTCACTCCTCTAATACTTAATAATGTTATAGCAATGTGTTCTGCCTGAAGACATACCAAAACTCCCTGAGAGTAAGACCAATACCTTGTATTGCTTGTCTTTTCAGCACCAGCACCAAGACCATACACCTTGGAGAGGGGAGCATTAAGTCCTCTCATTAATCTACACACAAGCCCTGCCTCACTCCCTCCAGCGCTTCTAGACAAAGTCCTGTCTTGCACTCCACTTGGGGTTCAGCATTAGTGGATGCCTAGTACATACCTAAATCTCAAGTAAAAAAAACCAACATACACAGAGGGCGATTCCATCACATGGACCATTTCACCACAATGTGGATTTACTGTGAAATCATCAAAGCTTAACAGTCTAGGCTTCTCAGGTGCACAGACTCCAATCTCAGTGACCTGGGGGAGGGGGTTTGCCAATGTGCCCACATGGTTAAATGTTTTTGTAAAGTTTTCAAAAAGATTATATTTTAACTGCAGTTGTTTCCTTCCATTCAGACTCCCACTATATGTTACTTTCCCTTGTATGGAGAGTCCTTGGAATGACCTCAGACAGGTGTGGGGTCTCACTTAAAGGAAACTGAATGGCATTGTGTTTTTATGAAATATATTTGTGTGATTTGAGGGCACTTTCATGGATAGTTAAGGGATAGCTAGCCATCCACATGTCAGATTGGCTTCCAGAAATTTTCCTACTATGGACAATGGCAACTCAAACAGATGTTGAGACATGAAGGTGTCAGCTCAGAGATGATTTTGCAATATAAGCATATTCTACTATCCCCAATACCAGAAATATATAAAGAAATATAGATAGTAGAGTGAAAACAAGGAAACTAGCCTGTGGAGAATTCTTCCTGTCACCAGACATGTGGAATTATAAATTCAAGATTGGGGTCTCTCCTGGAAGAAATTTACTTGATAATACAGCATTGAAAATAACAACTAGCTACATCATTTGAGTTTTTATTTTTTAATGGAAATCAATTAAAAAAGAATCTACCCAAATTCTTATATTTGTATAGCAGAAACCTGTATTACAAGTAATAGGTATGCCTATAACAACCCATATATCAAAGAAATTTTACAGTGGTTTCCCACCAAATTTGTCATCAACCTAGAAAGTGTATAAGATATTATTAGCCAAGGTTTGTGAAGCTGAAAAAAATATACAGACAACAATATTATAGTAAGACTAAGTTATCTTTCTATTCCCTTTAGAAAAAATCTAAAGCTGCTGTCATATGAAGAGACAGATATCATGGAGCTAAAATGTAGGGGAAAGTATTGTAGAGGTGTATTGGCAGTTGATTGGTTAAAATATCACTTTTCCGGAAGTTGTCATGTTTACAGTATTTCTCAGCCTTTTTGTATTTGAAATTTGTTGCCATTTCTTTTTGTTTTTTTCTTTCCCTTAAAGAGGGTCTCCAAAAATTGTATGTACATCAGACCCTAAAAACCTGGATTATCCCCCAAAAAAGATATATGCATCAAGTATAAGCAAGTGGTTGGCTTTTATCTCGCTTTATTTCCATCTTGGCTCAGCTAATAAATATGAAGAGTGTCCTCCAAATGTAGGCAGAGCTCACATTACAGCCTGAAATGAATGAAAATAAGTTCATCTTCAGAGAACTAAAGACAATATCAGAGGGTAGACAAGTCATTATTACAGATGCCTTTCATTGGTCTTTGCTTTGCCTGCTCCCACGGTGATATAAGATAATAAGAACCCAGGGTCAAGGTAGTGCACCTTTCTTCAAGGAGAATGGAAAATTGTGTAATCAATTCAGTCACTGCCATCCCAGCTGCATGCTATTAAAAACTCTGAAGAACTAACGAATATTGAACCAGTTTTCCAAGGACGAAGTTACTGCTGTTATATAAATATCCTGAAACCACTCCAGATCATGAACCCTTTCCAAGTACCACTTACTACTTATGCTTTTCTTGGCAAAAAAAAAAAAAAAAAAACCTCCTGCTCACTTCCTCCCTATTTACCCGTCTTAATAATCACAGGAAAGGGGCCTCTGAATGAGAATGTAGGTGGCACTAAGGGCCATCTAGTTATTCTCAACAGCAGCATTCTGAGGATTCACTGTAAAACTATTGTGAGCCCAGGAAATCTCCCATTATTGGGGAGAGTAAAACAGTAGCAGTCCTGACACTTCAGCAGTCTATAGCTATTTTACTTTAAGGACTTTCCCAAAAAATGTTTATTATATTTTTGTTTTGATTGTTTTTTAACCTCAAAGGAAAAGGTATGGACTATGAGAAACCATGACCATGAACAACTACTGAAATCAGAAAGCCTCATATACCTGCAGGCATCGGCTTAAGTCCAAACATCTGATTAAATAGCCACATAATTAATGTTCTCAGTTTTACATGGCCAAACCAACTTGTTAAGAATAAATAGTTTGGATGATTTTTAGCAAAATGTTATAGAGCCTCATTCTCATTTCTGACTCTTCCCTTTCTGCAGGCCCTTCTGCCTGCTAGTCAGTCTCTCTACCTCCCTGCATCTCTACAGTGTGTAGAACTTTCCACCTCCAAATATCACTCATGCTACTTGACTTCCCAGGGACACCTTCCTACTCCCCACCCACCAAGATCCTAGCTAACTCTCAAGAGTATCCCTCTTTGAAACTTTTTTTTTAAGTTTTCTTCTTCCCATCTCCCTCTGAATGCCCACAGTACATTTTTATCCATGGGATGGGTTTGAGATTTAAGTTATTGCTGTTTTGAATTACTATTTAGTATTGTAGCTGTTGTTTTTATGCTCTAATCGATTCAGACATGTATTTAAGATGGCTAAAAAGGGACCAGCTATGTAATAAGATTAAATAAATTAATTTAAAAGCATGAAACAAAGAGAAATCCACTTAGCTTACGCTATATTAAAAGTGAGAAGGGAGAGGGAGCAGGAAATGAGAAGAGGAAATAGGAAAATAGGAATACCTGTTTATTGCAATTATAAACAGAGGTCTAGCGTACTACAGTCTTTTTTCCTATTTCATAAGATTTGATCACCCTTTATAAACCTGAAGATTTTGTTGTAACAGTTGCATTGACTCTAATACAAAGACACTGCTTTGTTTGTTGGGGCATGAAAGGAAGAGAGCATTTGGTGGGATCAGTGGGAATTATGACCAGGGTATAGAAGTTTGCATAGAAGCCCAAAGATAACATGTTCAATAATCATGTTATCTTTGATGTTAATCTACAATATTAAATATGTAGAACTCAAATCATTTGCCCCCAACTGATTCCTGCTTTCTTCAAAGAGAACTGCCAGGTTTCTTACTTAACTGCCTCTTTCGCCCTCTCTCCCAGGTCTGCTTTGTGAACCTGGATGTAAACAAGGATGAGTGCAGCACAGAGCACCTGCAGCAGGTAACAATGGGGACTCACACTCTCCAGGAGCGCATTACAAGGGCTGGCTGCCCTGATGGGAGAACAACATGACTTCATCTCTACATGATGCTCCTTTTGTAGGGGACTGTTGAATTGGATGGTTTCATCACAGCCCATTCCCCTGACCCTTTCCTTCACCTTCCCATGCAGTTTGCCTGCCTTATATTTGTGAAACTTGTTTTCCCAAGAGACAGAGCTACTCTCCAAGCGGCACTTCCTCCTCTCACCATTTCCTTAAAGAGGTTTTTTTTTTGCTCTCTCCTTCTCCCCTCTAAAGCACTGTCTGAGATAGCTTTTCCAAGTTTTTTCCAGCCCTTCCTTCTGGCTCTCAGGGTTGCTGCTTCCTTCTGCTTTTTCATTATCAAATGTTTTATCACCAACCTTGCTTTCCCAATCATACACTTCCCTGGGGCTCAAATGTTTTACACTCTGCAGCAGCTAAATATTCTAAGATCATCCAAAGTTGTGAGAATCCTGATGTAAATCCTTGACAATATACAGGAGCTTGAAGGCTCATGCTATCCTTTGTACTATAGCCTCTGTACACAATGGAAGAAATGATTGATGTGATGATCATTTTATGCCCAGAGCTGCAGATGGTTTGATCTCACTATTAATGTAATGCGTTCAATGTATAACATCATGCCATTCGCAGCTTGATTATCACAGAACAGTAGACCTGCAATTACTCCTGTAATGTTTTTGTTTTTTGACAATGCTTCATCTGAAGCTTTCTAAGTTCCAGATATCATTCATCTGTGTAGTACTAGAGGGGTTTTAAAAATATATTGTACATATGATTTCATTTGATGAGATTGTGGTGCAGCATCTATCAAAGAGAGATGGCCAAAGCAAGTTGGCATCATAAGAATGGTGTGTTTGGAGATTTATATGAGTGATTTGAGGCAGTTTTCTGCTATGGCTAAGAGTAGATACTTTGACACTGACTTAGCTACATACACTTGTGTGAGGTCTTAATCTTCTCTGGGCTTCAGACTACATAAGTGTAAAAAAAAATGTAATAGTGATACTTAATCCCTGTTGTGGGAAATAAATGTAGTAAAATATAACATGTAAAGACTTCAGTTAGCTTATTGCCAAGAACATAGAGAAAATCAATGTTAGTAATTATTTTATTATTGATATTATTATTGACTTTATTAGAAAATAAGATGATTATTAATCATAAGTCTCTTACCCCAGGACTTAAAAGAACACAATTTCTGAACTACTAAATATATTTGTGGTGTGACAGCAATTGTAAAATGCTAACTTTTGGAAGTTTAGTACTAACAGTTTTTAAAAGCTTTATATTTAAAGACTCTCCTACCAATCTAAAGCTTTATGCTTCCAATTTTACACAATCTCTTTAGTAATAATTTAGTAGATTAAGTAACCTATAGTATGAATAGTTATATGAGTATATTATTTTTGTAAGTAAATATCGATAGTTTGGGGAAAGTGTTTTGGAATGAAAAGAAATCATTTAAACGAATGAAGATTCTTGCTCTACAGAAATTGGTCAACGTTTCACCAGATCTCCCAAAACTTATCAGCTCCATGAATGTCCAAAAACCAAAAGAAAATGAAATTGTCCTCCTCAGCGGGTTAACATCTGGAAATCTCCAGGCAGATTTTAAAGTTTCACAGGTAAGAAGTATAGGCTCTTGATAAGGTGCTCCTTCACTAGTAATATTATCAATGGTTGGCTCTTGGCAAATATCAGTATGAACCCCAACTAGATCTCACATAAACTCTTACAGCATAAAAATAAGAACGTCTCTATATTTAATAGTTCATTTGTATTTCTCCAAAATATTGCAACTTAAAGTTTGACAGACCTTTCTTTATATCAACTCAAGTTCATAGTGCTACATGGCACTTAAACTAGAACAGACACACTAGGCATTGTGGTTAGCTTGGTTTTCTGAAAATATACTGAGTAGTAAAAAGCAGAATTGTCTTCTGTTACAAGAATAACACCAAAATTCTAATTCATACTTTGTGGTCCCAGAACCCCACAGTGTCTTCTTTCTGGATGTTTTTTAGTTCTAGGATGCACCAAACAGCCAAGTAGTAAGTACAAGATAGCAGCCAAAACCAGTTTGGCTCAGAACGTCGGTCTGAGACTGAAAGGTCCCAGGTTCGATTCCGGTCAAGGGCATGTACATTGGTTGTGGGCACATCCCTGTAGGGGGTGTGCAGGAAGCAGCTGGTCAATGTTTCTCTCTCTAATCGATGTTTTTAACTCTCTATCCCTTTCCGTTCCTCTTTGTTAAAAAAAAAATCAATAAAATATATATTTTTTAAAAAGATAGCAGCCCCCAGGAAGCAAAGGGAGTTTCTTGGTTCCAATGAATGAAATTTCCAAAGGAAAAGAATGCTTCTAAAAATAGAGTAGGAATTATTATTCTCATTCAACACCCTGTTGTCCATTGTTATTCAATAAGCCGTTATTATATTCTTTATCTGAAGAAAAATAAAAATATACAAATTGTTTAATCAACTTACAGAAAAATACATAAAAGATTTCTAAAGGCACATTATATAAAAGATTGCTAATTTTCTCAAATAAGTATGTTTATAGTGAAAGCCATAGATTAAGATAATAAGCATTTGTTTTTCTTCAAATTGTCCTTTCTTGGGTTTTAGTTTTGCTGCAAAATTTTAAATAATTTATTCTTCAGTATTACAAATTATCAAAAAATTCAGAGGTCCACCCACTATTTCTTGCTCTACTCCTGATGCTTTGTAAAAATCTACACACAGTCCATTACAACTTGTTAAGCAAGACTAGAACAAAATTCTTGGAGTCAATCTAATAATACATTTCTTAGTAAAAAAAAAATAATCATCTGAAAAAAGAACACAGAAATGGCTCTAAATACCTTCTCTTTATATTAGGCAAAATCATTATGACCAAAAGCAACTTATAAACCTCAGTTTTAAGAGTATTTCTGGACCAGGTCTATTAGTTGGGATTTGTAATTAAACATATCAGAAAATTGACTTAAGCACAGAGTGATGTATTGTCTCATGTAACTACAAAATCCAATGGGTAGATTAAGTACAAGGATTTGGACAAAGTCATCAGACATGCATATTCTCTTGCGGCCTCTCTTCTTCTTTCTCTTTGTGTACTCCATTATCAGACAAGCTCTTCTCACAAGGAATCAATATCCTTTGGATTCAAGTTGAGTAAGAAAGAGAATATCTCTTCCAGGTGGCTTCCAGGAAAAATCTCATTGAATCCTATTAGCTCTCATGTGTCATGTGCCCATTTCTGAACTAGTAAATAAGCAATTTTTAATGGGACAAGACAGCCAAACTGAGGATATCCCTAAACCAGCAGGTATGGGCAATAGTTGACTAAGATGAGACTTGCCATTGCTGTGCTACTTCAATATAGCTGATCTACTAATATATGGTAAAAACATAGGGACTGTGGTACCTACAAAACAATTTAGACCTTTGTGAGAGTTGCTTCAATTTTCAAAACTGTCTCCTATGATGAAGATACAAAAAAGTTTAGTTTTCCTTTGGGCAAAGCCAATTATTGAGCACAGATAGACTATAATTCTACACCAGCTCTTAAAAACCCAATCATCTTTTGTTTCAGTGGAGTTGTGGTCTGACTCAGTTCTGGCCTCTCTCTCCAATTTTAATAGCTTTGAAGAACATCTTCCTTACCTGATTAACTTTGCCCAGGGCAATTTTTGCTTTGATAGAAGAGAACAAAAATATGTGATACAACTCGTCTATTTTCCCCTATGTCAAATTTTCTCCTAGGTACTCTGCGTTCCCAAGTAGCACTTGAATTTTTTTCAAGCAGTTTATTAGAATAAGCCTAGATGTTCCAAATATTTTAAAGGTCCCCACTCCTTAACAGGAGAGATTGAGGGAAGAAGAGAGGTCAGAGTCCATGATTTTCTAATTTCTTTTTCTAATAAAGGCCCCCTTTTTTTTTTTCTATCCACTTTTAGTGTCCTTGGCTGCCAGACATCTGCTTGGTCCAGTGTGCAAGGGGGAACAGACCAAACAGTACCAATTGCATCATCTTTGAAATTAACAAATTTTTGATTGGCCTGGAATTGGTTCAGGAGCGGCAGCTCCACCTGGAAACAAACATCTTGAAGGTGGAGGATGACACAAACTGTTCCCTGTCTTCAATCGAGGAAGACTTTATCACCGCATCTGAGCACTTGGAAGAGGAGAGTGAGGTGGAAGAATACAGGAATGGTGAGAACTCTCCAATAAAACAAATGTGCATTCTGAAATTAGCCACCCTATCAAAATGTCTACATGCAATTTTAAAAAAGTTTCAGGCCATATCAGTTTGGATGACACATCACAATCTTCACTAAGTTTAGGAGGAAAAAGGGATACGAAAACTGGTGAAGATGCTGACTGAGGCACTTAGATTTAATGGTTAGATGGCTCCGTTCTCTCTAAAGAGGCCTTAGGTGTTCTGATAAAGAAAATGTGTGTTTTAAGGGGAAATCCTCTTGACTGCCAAGAAATGGAGACTATCACTGGGAGGAAAGTTAACCTCCCTAAGTCTTCCATCAAAGCCACTTACTTGTTGAAGCTGAGTTAGACTGGCCTCAATCCTAACAGTTTCTTTGAAGCTGTGAAACCTGGGGCCAGCTATCTAGTCTTTGTTTAGTCTTCTGAACCCTTATCTAGACCTTGGGAGTATAGTAGTTCCTGTAGCAATAATATGTTTGAAAGTATGAGATGAGATTGTCCTGTGCTGTCTAAGGAGGGGGATGCATTCTGGGAAATGCATTGTTAGTCAAGTTCATTGTTGTGCTAATATCACAGTGCACTTATACAAACAGATGTTATAGCCAACCACACACCTACGCTGTACCTTACAGTCTAGGCTACAAGCCTATATAGCATGTGACTGTATAAAACAACACAAAATTAAATCAAGAATTAGAGAGAGCAAATGGTGAAGACAGAAGTAAATAACCCAAGAAAGTGCTTAGTACTCATGTACTCACTCTTTCTATTGACTCATTAGTGGAGATCAGTGCACAATGGACTCCCTCCCGGACTCTTAGCCTTAGGAAGGGATACCCCAGATACTGTTGCCACTGACGCTAGGACAAATACTATGCAAACTTCAGAGCACATTTTTGTAACAAGACTCACTATTAAGGTTGTTATAAACATCCTCTCTCTTCCCTCCTGACTCACTTGGAAGTTATAAATGCATTTTGGGGCTTACTTTGCCCCTGAAGGCTGGTGACTAGTTGTCAGCTCCCAAAAGCCTTCTTCTGCTGTAATGCTTGCACTTTTTTTCTGCACTGACACCCATTTTATTGAGCAGCATTCCATAAGGAAGCACAGAAGCCTTTTCAGACTCATTTTTTTTTTGAGGAAACATTTGTTTTGAAGAGACCTTCAAATGCTATTTGGGGATGTGGGAGGGTACCTGATGCTTTGAAGCATTTTTAGAAAATAATTACTTTAGGCTCACGAGAACCTGCTATTCAAAAAGTAATCGTACTCTTCATTTTCTCTTCACTAGGTTATGAGAATATAAATGTTTCAGCCAATGTTATGGAAAGGGAAAAGTCGAAGGGAATCACTCAGGAGGAATGGGATCACAATAAGGAAAAGGCACTTTGTACTTTGGAAGACAAATACATTAGCAAATATCACACATCATTGATTAACACAGAAACATCTCTGAGAAAAGTAGCAGAAGACATAACTTTGCAGAGTCTGGATCCAGCAGCTAAGCTATCAGAGTGGAAAGGTGAAACTGTGGGGAATGAGATGACAGCCACAAATTACTATCATTCAGAAAATTTTAAAGATCAAGTGGAAAAATTGCAGGCACTCTGTATTCCAGGCAATGCTTATTTCTCCAAGGTGGTTAAGAAAGATGAACGTTCTGCCCATGGCACTGTCATGGAGCAGGACCACAAGTTAGACCCAGGAGACCATGAAGATGGAACAAATTCTCTTCTCCCCATACAAGATGGAGAAGCCACAACGGGCGAGTATGCCACAAATTTAGCAGAATCTGTGCTGCAAGATGCATTTATTAGATTATCTCAGTCTCAGCCTACACTACCCCAGGAAACGGCAGTCAGTGTCTCTGTAGGAAGTGCTCTGCTCTCTCGTCGCTATTCCACAAAAGATATCGTGGTCCCTCAGTCATGGAATGAGCTCCCCAAAATCGTCATTGTTCAGAGTCCCGATGGCAATAATGCTGCCCCTGAGCCAGACATCGCTACATGGCCTGAGATGGAAGTCTCTTTTGAAAACTCAGGTGTCGCCTCTGGAGAGAATGCCAGCAAACACCCCCAGAGTGCTCTGGAGGTAGCCTTAGCTTGTGCAGCCACCGTGATTGGAACTATTTCCAGTCCACAGGCCACAGAAAGACTAAAAATGGAGCAAGAATCCCTTATTTTCAACCACCCACCAGATGGCAATGACCTACTACAGACTCAAGCACCCCAAGTACTCAAGGAACCGTCCATCAGTGAATACTCGTTTCCATCTGCTTTGTGCGGCATGGCGCAGGTGGCCAGTGCCGTCGCTGTCTGTGGCCTGGCTGAAACCGGAGAGGTGAAGTGCCCTGAAGCTTCAAGTGGACTCTTGCCTGCAGCTGTGTCCTCTGCAGCAATTCCTCCACTTTTTAATTTAGCAACAGGGAGGGACATGGCGCTGGGAAACGAGGCCATCGCAGAGGCATTGTTCAAAGAGGCCGCTCTGGTTTTAATAAGGCCTACTGCCTACAGCAGCATTGGAGACCTCATGGAATCAATGAACAGAAGAATTATGGAAACTGCTTCCAAGCCTCAGAGCTCGTGCTCAGAAAATGCGCTCGGAAATGAACTGGCACAAGCTCTGTCCAATCTGATTCTGAAGCACTGCCTTGATGGAATTCACCAGCAAAATAAAAGAATCGACCCCAAAGGCACGCATTCGTCTGAAACTCTGGACATCTTAATGGAAGGTACAAATCAACTGCTCTTCAATGTGATATGCTTTACCCTCAAGAAGATGAGCCATATTGTACAGCATGGTAAATGTCCCACTCTCCTTTCTAAGGAGACCATTGGATGGAGGGAAACAGAACTAGGCAACCAGCCACGTGATGAGGCTGCTAGTCAAGCATGGGCTAAAGCCACTGAATACTCCAGCAGCCATCCACATATTCCTCCACGTAGCACCAGTCTTGTTATCAATGATCTTGTAGAGGACATGCCTTCAAAGCAAGACAGCAAGGGCCCAGCGAAGCCAGGTCTCTTTCAGAACCCCATGCTGCAATCTGAATTGTCTTGTGGTCCCAGAATGCCTGGTTCTTCATCTGCTAAAATATTCCCTAAGGAAATATATATGAAAGGAACCATGGGAAAGGATATAATAAACCCGCATCAGACACTGATTCACAATGAGAATGAAAGCAGAGCCTCTTCAGAGGGAGAAAGGACATTGGCAGCAACCAAGTGGAGCAGCGGTTCCCAGGATGCTGAGAAAAGCTTCAGTCCCAACAGCCATGAGAAGTACAATTGTGCCTCACTTCTAAACAATGAAGTGCAAGTTAATCTGTCTTTGTTAGGGAGTGACTTGCTGCTTCCTGCTCAGTCCATGCTGCAGGCAAAACACACAGACGTATACAGCATTGCAGACTTTGCGGAAGAATTAGCAGAAACCATTGTCTCCATGGCAACTGAAATTGCAGCAATTTGCCTTGACAACTCAAAGGGAAAACAACCCTGGTTTTGTGCATGGAAAAGAGGGACCGAGTTTCTGGTTACCCCGAACCTAACCTGCCGATCTTTGAAGAGGAAGGAGAGTCAGGCCAGTGGGTCCGCCGTGAGGAAACACAAGCCACCGCGGCTCAGTGAGATCAAGAGGAAAACAGATGAGCACCCGGAGCTTAAAGAGAAGCTGATGAACAGGGTTATGGACGAGTCCATGAACCTTGAGGACACCCAAGATTCTGTCAGTTTCTTTGCAAACGAAGTAGCAGCCAAGATCATGAACCTGACAGAGTTCTCCATGGTGGACGGCGTCTGGCAAGCCCAGAGCTTTCCCCGGAATCGGTTACAGAGTGGAGACAGGTGGAACCGGCTGAAAGCCTCCAGCTGTGAGAGCATTGCCGAGGAGGACTCTAATGCCAGGGCCTATGTCAACAGCCTGGGTTTAATGAGCAGCCTAAGTCAGCCAGTGAGCAGGGCCAGCTCTGTCTCCAAGCAATCGAGCTGTGAGAGCATCACCGATGAGTTTTCCAGGTTCATGGTGAATCAGATGGAGAATGAAGGAAGAGGATTTGAGTTGCTGCTGGATTACTATGCAGGCAAGAATGCCAGCAGCATTGTGAACTCAGCTATGCAGCAGGTGTGCCAGAAAAATGACCACCTCAGCGTGAGGTCAAACTGTCCCTCTAAGCAGTCCAGCACAGAGAGCATCACCGAGGAGTTCTACAGGTACATGCTGAGGGACATGGAAAGAGAAAGCAAAGATAATGCCTTCTCCAGACGAAGCAGCCAGGATTGGGCGGCTGGTTTATTGTCACCTTCTCTGCGATCCCCATTGTATTACAGACAGTCATCTATGCCAGATGGCAGATCCCTGGGTGCCAGGCTGACAGTGAATGTGCCATTCAAAGCCAATTCCTTAGATGGCTTTGCTCAGAACAACCAGCGAGATCGCCTAAGCGTACAGCCAGTCAGCAGTGCTTCCTCAACGGGGCTCTGCAAATCTGATTCTTGCTTATATCGCAGAGGTGGAACTGACCAGATCACAGCCATGTTAATTCATGAGACATGGGCAAACTCAATCGAGGCCCTCATGCGGAAGAACAAAATTATAGTGGATGATTCCCAGGCTGATGCTGAGCCTGTTTCTGGTGGCCCTCCCTTGCAAGTGGACAAGTGTGCAAACAGGTTAGCTTCTAGCAGAGTGCAAAGTGGGCCAGTTCTTCTTGTCCAGGAGCCTATTGATTACCAGAGGAAAGACTCTGTTACCGAAACCCAATATCCCTCAGTGTCCTCTCCAAGCAAAGCTGCTCCTCTTACTTTCAATTCTAAAAAGGAAACTTCCTTGTGCCATGATGGTATCTCTGTAAACCGCACCAGGCAATCACTTTGTTCAAGGGAAGTGCCTTTAATTCAGATTGAAACAGATCAGAGAGAAGAGTGTGCTGGTGAACCTGAACACACCCTTTCCAAGTGCAGCCCCCTGGAAGAAGCAGAGGAGCATTCGAAAGACGACAAAAATGTCCCAGATGTGGTGAAGGGTAGAGACACTGAGAAGAAAGACTGCCAAGACCACGGGTGAGTGAATGATTTGTGAGACTCCTTAAGAGTGCATGGGCCTGGAGTTTGCATCTTAATTCATATTTATTCTAAATCTTAGGGATTTATTGATGTAAGAACTGAATGTCTGAGGCAATAAATGGCTTTCTTGGGTTAAGAAGAATTTATAATAATGGAAAGATGAAAGTAATTTTTAAAAATTTTTGAAACAAATGAGATTCATTTACATAACAGAGGATCTAGGGTATTGTTCTTCCCATTAAAATTAATTGCCCAATAAAAAATTCATGCATGGCAATTTTCAAGCAAAAGAAAAAATATGCCAATTAATCTACTTGAAAATTTTAAATTTAAATAATATTGTTTAAATATTTTGATATCTATTTTTTCTAAGGCCTCTCCTTTCAGGTTTTCCTTTCTTGCCTTGTTCTAAAAATCTCTGCAAGGACACCGTGTCCTGCAAGTGGTGGCTTTTTAGATGCATGGTATAATTATGGCAGCAGTAGAGGCAAAACAACTCCAGAGTATTGTTATTTCAATTTCTCTTTCGGAAAGCTGTAATGTAGGTGACAATACATTTTGAATTTGAGGCAAAGTAATTTTTTCTCTCAGGTTGCTTAACAAACTGTCCATTATTTTTACAACTCCCATTTTTCATAGAAAATTGAGAGGATTCTTAAATATGAGACCATTGTATCATTTATAATTTTTGATCTATAGTTAAAGTTAAATAAAACAGAAGAAAACAAAAACAAAAATTAAGCTCTATCTTATGGAAAACATAAGATAAGAAATGGCCTGCATAGCTCTTCAGGGCCATGAACCTATTGCACAAAGAAACTGTAATTTTTAAGTGGTTAGTTACAATAAACAAGTTGAGTGAAGCCTTCATCACATTTCATCAGCCTCAAAGGTCCCTAATACTTTCCCAGCCTCACCAGGGAAGCTATAGGGCTTCATCTTTTGGTGCTGATGTCCCCAATCATTATATCATTACAAGGTGTGGGTGGTGTGTGGTTCAGATGCTTGTAAATATTTCATTCTCAATCCCTCGGTGCTAAGAACTTAACTTTCCAATTGGATTAAATTCGGAAGAAAATTGAAGAAAAGAGAGCATAAAAATATACAAGCAAAAGAACACAAATACAAACAAAATGAAGAATAGGCTAAGATGATCAAGAAGACAAGTTTATATATATATCAGTAATTCTCCAACTATAGAAAATATTCATCAAAGTTTTATATTTGCACCATAGTATTCACCTAGGAAGGATGGTGAATTACAAATGTTTAAAAGTGATCAAAGAGTTAAAGATATACAAGAGCCAATATGTAATTCTTTAGAATTACTTTAACTTGAGATAGCAGGAAATGGAAAATGCTTGATTTAAAGTCTCCTAAACAGAGTGATCATTAACCAACTAAGATTTTTAGTCGAAAAAGGTGACCTAGTTAAGGAACATTCATGAACTAATTTAACAAGATTTATGGTTATAGGTTCAAATCAAATTATGATTGTCACTACAGTGAAATAAAATTCATTATACAATTTTTAACTGTAAAATTAGGGGGTCGTCTTAAATGCCGGAAAATACGGTACTTAGATTTTAGGCCACTATATCTGTCCAAATACCTGAATTATCCCTTAATTTAAAGAGTTTAAATAATGTGATGTATCTCAGTTCTTGATTTCTGGAAAAAATATTATTCTATTGTCGGGCAGCAATGAGTGCTTAAATTAACCACTCTATCTACGATCATTAAAGAACAAGTATCTAACTTTTGGATAGTTTGAGACCGCAAGTATAAACACCTAACTAAAATTCTCAACATCACATGTTGCACTTAATGACATCATCTGACTTTTTTAGAAACGTATTTTATGTTGTGCATTCATTTATATTTGTTTCAAGAAAAATAGTATTCATCCAACAAATAGTTGATACCCATTGATGTGCACTATCCTTGGAGCTTCAAATGCAGGATAATATAGAGATTTGGTGCCGGTGCCCATTGCTCTTACACAGCAGTGGGAGAGACATACACACATATATGAAAAATCTCATTATAAAGTAAAGTAGAGGCCCAGTGCACTGAGGTAGAGGGTGTCCCTCAGCCCAGCCTGCACTCTCTCCAATCTGGGATTCCTCTCACAATCCAGGACTGTTGGCTCCCAACTGCTTGCCTGCCTGCCTCCCTGATTGCCCCTAACGTAAGGTGACCAGACATCCTGTTTTTGGCGGGACAGTCCCGATTTTTAACAATTTGTCCCGCATCCCCCATCATTTTTAAAAAGTCCCGATTTTTGGAAAGAATCTTTTAAATCTTTTGGACTTTTAAAAATACTGTGGGACGCGGGAGAAATTGTTAAAAATCGGGACTGTCCTGCCAAAAGTAGGACGTCTGGTCACCTTACGCTAACTGCTTCTGCCTGCTAGCCTGATCACCCCCTTACCATTCCCTTGCCAGCCTAATTGATGCCTAACTGCTCCCCTGCCAGCCTTTTTTTACCCTAACTGCCCTCCCCTACAGGCCTGGTTACCTTTAACTCCCCTCCCCTGCAGATCTGAGTCCACCTCAACTACCCTTCTCTCCAGGCTCAGTTGCCCCCAATTTCCCTCCTCTGCCAGCCTGGTCACCCCTAATTGCCCTCCCCTGCAAGCTTGATCGCCCCCAAATGCCTTCCACTGCAGGCCTGGTCCCTCCCAACTGCCCTCCCCTGCTAGCCATCTTGTGGCAACCATCTTGTGTCCACATGGGGGCAGCCATCTTTGACCATATGGGGGCAGCCAGCTTGTGTGTTGGAGTGAGAGTCAATTTGCATATTACTCTTTTATTAGATAAGATAGAGGCCTGGTGCACCCATGGGGGCCAGTTGGTTTGTCCTGAAGGGTGTCTCTGATCAGGGTGGGGTTCCCTTGGGGCCAAGAGCAGCCTAAGTGAGGGACCTGTGGTAGTTTGCAGGATTTCCACGTCTCCCGGTGACCCAAGTAGAGGCCCTGGTATCTGGGGTTTATTTATCTTCTATAATTGAAACTTTGTAGCTTGAGCAGAGGCCAGGGCCAGCCAGAGCAGGTGGGAAGCTTGGCTTCCTCCATTGCTGGAGAAACCCACGCCTCCTGCTTGTTCAGTGGTCGCAGCCATCTTGGTTGGGTTAATTTGCATGCTTGCTCCTGATTGGCTGGTGGGCGTGGCTTGTGGGCATAGCAGAAGTATGGTCAATTTGCATGTTTCTCTTTTTAGTGTAGATTATTGTAGAGTGTGACAAGACAAAAATAAAGAGTAGTGTGATAGAGAATAAGTAATTGGTCAAAGTGGCTGCTGGCATTTGAAATGAGACCTAAAAGGTAGATAAGGGGCAAGCCATATGAAGTCACACTTGAATTTCAAGCTAGCTTGAAAACTTTTTCAACTATGAATCAATTATAAATTCTGAATTAATATAATAAACATCCCTTTAAATACAAGACTGAACTTAACATTATTGTTAATAACTAGTGGCCCACTGCATGAAATTTGTGCATTGGGAGGGTGGGTCTCCTCAGCCTAACCTACACCCTCTCTATCTGGGACCCCTTGGGGGATGTCCGACTGCCAGTTTAGGCCTGATCCCACACCGGGCCTAAACCGGCAGTTGGATATCCCTCTCACAATCTGGGACCGTTGGCTCCTAACCACTCATCTTCCTTCCTGCCTGGTCGCCCCTGCATCTGCCTGCCTCTGATTGCCCCTAACCCCTCTGCCTGCCTTCCTGATCTCCCCTAACCTCTCGGCCTGCCTGATCTTGCCCCCAACTGCCCTCCCCTGCTGGCCTGATCTTGTCCCCAACTTCCTTCCCCTGCCAGCCTAGTTGCCCCCATCTGCCCTCCCCTGCTGGCCTGATGTCACCCAGTCTCTCTCTTTGTTCTTCTCAGCAGTCCTCCAGGCTTCCCTGCCTCCTTATCTCCCTCTTTCTCTTTTTTGGCTGGGGTCAGTGGGGGATACTCCACCCTCTGCCTGCCTTCCCTTCCATTCAGGCCTCTTCAGGCCCGGTCTTGTTTTGTTTCCTTATGCTGAGAGAACCTCCGAGAGCAAGCTGGGAAGGAGGGAAAGAAAGGGAGAAAGGGCTGTGAGCTGGTGGGCACTGTGTGTGTCTGTAGTTGTGAGTTAGTGTGAGTGTGGCCCCACCTCCCCCATCCCCATCTTCATGGCCACAAGTCTTCACCCACCAAAGCCTGCTGCATGTGCAGCCTGGGTGTTAGGTAGAGCCTCTGGTCAATGTAGATGAGATGGACTCAGGATTTTTATAGATTAGGATGATGATCATCACCATCATCACAGGGGCAGAAAATGAAAGGATCTGGAAACAAAAATGGCGAGTTAAAGCTGATTCTGCACCTGTTCCTGAAGCATTTGTCAGTTTCTGTAATATATGAGTTTATTTTCTAAAGGCTAAAAGAAAATGGGAATTATACTGTGGTTACAGCAAATGATAAATGGTTAAGACTTAGAACCAAAAAAAATCATATTTTAAAATTACCTCCAATAAAAATTTAGGAAGAAGAATCATCCGCAAGCAAAGGGAGCTGTTTTTTTTTTTTTTTTTTTAATCTGTATTTCAGGGTTAAGGTTCTGGTTAGAGAGGGGGAAAAATCCCCTAAGAATTTATAACCACAGCTTGTCCTAATGCATGTTTAGAGGTCTAATTTGTACCATATAGGCAGTCTATGGATCCCCCAAGCTGATAACTAATCTTAAAGCAATCTCAGGTTAATAGCATGACATATAAAACCTTATCAAAGGCAAAGTAAATCTCTGGAGATTGAAGTCCAAGTTTCAAAGGATTCCAGCAGAGAAAGCCCCATCAAATATTGGGGTGGGTAATTTTTCCAGTATGGTCCATCTACCACTTGCATTAAAATCACCAGGGGTGGTTACTTATAATACAGCTTTCTGGGCTTCTCTGCAGAAACACTGAATCATAACTCTGAGGAAGATGCTCTGGGTATGTCCATTTCAAATACCACTGCCCCTAAATAATTCTTATATATGCACACCAAGGTGCTTACAGGTGTTTTTGAAATGAATGGAGGGAGTTCAAAAAAAGAGAACAAATTAAGAAACGGGAAAGGCTAATAGAGAGTTACCCTGAAAAGACAAATATGGGACCTAGCGCACCAGTAGAAGTATTGGCCTTAAAGAAAGACTACACCTGTGTGCAAGAACAACCTGCTCAGTATGGCAGAGATTCATGCTTAACAGCAGCCAGCAAGGTCCTTTGAAAAGTTCAGTCTTGTGCTCCCACTCATAGTAATAATATCCCACCATCTATATAGTGACAGCCTTGATACCAGCGACGTACCAGGGGCTGAAGTCCCGACAGAAGGCAGAGCCCCGGATGAGGTTCCCAACCCTCCTGTCAGCAGTGGGGAGAGCACAGACAGCTGGTCTCAGCTTGCCAACGAGGAGGACAACCCAGACGACACAAGTAGCTTTCTGCAGTTCAGTGAGCGATCCATGAGGTACCTACTCTTCACTTGACTTTCCAGGGAAACAGGTCTCCACACATATTTCAGAAATAAATTTTAAATAGTTCTTTGCAAAGGGTCCCAATAGAGAGTGCAAAAACAGAAAGTTCCCACTGGGTCCAGTTGCCTGCCTATCATGATTTGTGCTGAAAGTTATCTTAATATGCAATTATGGCTTCGATTACCTTGGCCAAGGTTAAGAATAAGCTGTGTTTCCTTTTCTGCAAGCCCAAGCTAATGTATTCGGTAATGACAACTATGAATCCTATCTAATAAAGAGGGAATATGCAAATTGACCATCATGCCATCACAAAGATGGTGGTGCCCATAGCCACAAGATGGTGGTGCCCAACCCCCTCAACCCTGCTGGACTCCCACAGTCCTTTCAGCCAACCAGGGGGTCAGGAGAGGGCTGCAGGTACCCAGGAAGCCAGACCTGCCATCAAGCCCCCAGCCACTCAGGGCTGGCCCGAGGCATAGGCAAACCTCAGATGTATGCTGCCCAGCCACCCAGGGCAACGGAAACTCAGGTAACCAGGGACGGCCTACGCTTGCACTGCTAGCAGTGGCAGTAGCAGAGGTGTGATGTAGGCATCACCTTCCCCTGATTGCCAGGTTGCCTCCTGCCCCTGAGGGCTCCCAGATTGTGAGAGGGGACAGGCTGGGCTGAGGGACACCCCCTCCAGTGAATGAATTTTCATGCACCGGGCTCTAGTTTCTTAATAAGAGCTGCTATTACACCTCGTATGTTTGATACTTTCTTTCTGGTTCATTTGTATTTCAGATGCAACCCAGGCTGGGTTTACATGAGGCAAGTGTCTCCACACTGTTGTGTTGTTTGGCCTGACTGCTCCTCTGATTTCTCTGCCCTGCCTTCTATTGTTGCTCTAGAAAAACTAGAGAAGATCTAATAATAGGTCAGATCTGATTAGACTCCAGCCAGTCAGCAGATATAAACTAAAAACTATCCCTCTGTGAGATAAAAAATGAAAAGAATCTCCATGTTTCAGCCTGAAGTCTTATTTGATACTGGAAACTGTTCAGAATCCAGTTGATATGGGAGGTTCAGATACATCTGGGTGTCTTGATTATTGAAAGTTTTATTTCTGGTAGTTCCATCAACTAGACTAAAGATGTTGAGCAACTTGTCCAAAATTCAAAAAACAAAGGAGAGAGAGAGAAAGAGAGAGAGAGAGAGAGAGAGAGAGAGAGAGAGAGAGAGAGAGGAGAGAGAGAGAATTTGATCTTTGGATGTAGCAGATGTTGATAGGGTTAATTACTTTCAGTGCAAAGTCTGAGTCATCAGATTTCAATCAATAAATATATTCAGTACCTCAGGCAAACCCAAGATAGGAATTTGAAATGGAGGGAGCCTAGTTGGTTACTCATGGTACTCCCAGGGAAATCTGCCCCTTTACAACATACCACCTCTCACCCTTTGGAAACCTTACTTGGAAGAGATGACATCAGAAAATAGAACAGGTGTGAGAAAACTTAGTGGGTTTGGTGAAATTGGATTCATTCTCCTTTGAGCATACAGACAGAACCTAAAAATTAGCTCAATTCCACTGTTTCAGTAAATAAGTTTCAGGCTAGTAACTTAACCATATGTTGATTGTGCAGCCAATGATAATGATGTAATACATGGTCCCTCCTCCATGAAGCATAAGGTAGCAGATGTTACTGCTTCTCAAAGATTTTAAGATAAAGGATCTATAAAACTTGGCTTCTTCAACTTTGTACGTGTGCATTCTGCAGTTCCCCAAAATAAAATTTTAAAAAATGAGCCAGGTGCACATCCTGTGGAATGTCCCTCAGAAAAATCCCCTGAATATGTGCCCACTGTCAAAAACAGGCAGATCAGCATTCCAGTATCTCCCCCAAACTGCATTCTTAGAAGTATGTTAGTTTCTATGGGCTTCTGCTAATAGATGAACATCTTTACAATAACTAGAATGAGGAAGAAAAAGTCATGCTGATTATCACCTACTAAGTATAATCTGCCCCATGCAACACCACTGCAGAAATTAGAAAACAACTATGGTGGTTGGCTTGAGCCAAAAATGTCTTTTGTTATGTGTCTCCTAATTTGGTCAGAAATAAATGTCAATTTAGGAGTCCTGGAGACACAAAGCTGTATTATTCTGAACACTAAAGGGAGGACCTGTGAGAACAGTAGATGATCGGTGTCAGAGGTGTGGCCAGGTGGTGGAGACAGGCATTAATATGTAAACTTTTGCTTTGTCAGCAATGGCAACAGTAGTGCCACTAGCAGTCTTGGCATTATGGACCTGGACATTTATCAGGAAAACATGCCATCTTCTCCCATGATTAAGTAAGTAGCCACGGAGGTGCAATGATGGTGAGACCGCCACTCCAATTCCATCTGGCAATCCATTGTGATCATTCAGGTCGTGCCCAGCCACCGACTTCATGATGTCTGTACTGCCGTGATTCCCAGGCATGTGTGGTTCCATGTCACTGGAGCAAGAACTCAAGCCTCGAATAGCCCTAGTCTACCATCACCTCCTTTCTAGATTTCAAGTCTGTTCTCTATGATATAATCATTTCAAATCAAGCTCATCCATACAATTAGAAGTATATGTCATTTTACCTAATGGACACCAAGAAGCAAAAATTCCATTTAAATCGTACCATGCCAACCAACATGTGATGCCAATCAAGTGTGATGCTTTTCCTTTACCTGGGATTGTCAGTACTAAATGTTTTGCCCAACACCAAATGATGCCATATTGAAGATGTGTCATTCCCACACAGTAACTCTGCCCCCTCCACCATAGGACCTTCTAAAACAGCAAGGAGGGAAAGCACTAAGAGAATATAAGGAGAGCAACATGAGATCAGAACTACATCCTGAATTGTGATGCTTCTGGGAAATTAAATGAGTTACAATCTATTTTTTATCATGATGACTTAGCTTGTTAACTGAATATTTCTGAAATTTCCAAAAAGTGTAAGTAAAGTATAGGGGGTGGGGCGCAAATTGCTCTCTCATCTGAGCTATTTTCTCAACTACTCCGTATAGCTAATTCATTTTTGCTTTACTATCTATTCATGTATCCTGCCTGTGGAAGTACTTCTTAGTGACTGAAAGAGGCAATGAATTCTCTCTTGTTCCCCAAGGCCATGATTCATGAGGACAGATGAACACCCCTATTATCTTGGGTCTGTTTTCTAAAAGAAGAACCAAAAAATGAAACAAATAAAAGTAACTATTTGAGGACAAATTTACTTTCTTTCAGAAAATATTTGTTTAGCTACCGTTCCTATCTTTCTCTGTGGTATGAGCCTACAATCCTACAGACTGTATGAATTCAGGGAAAACCAAGCCCACCGTCACCCATAGCAGCATCATTCAGCTCTGTAAGAGAAGAAACTGTACCTACCATCTGTCATTTCACTTAATGTCACTCACATAGGGCTCTAACAGAAATTTAGACCCTGAGGAAATTGACCATCCTTCCATGTAATTATTAGGTGTGAATATAAGAACAACAAAGATCTCTCAGCTTTAGGAGTAAAATGAAGTTTGTCAGCCAGATCTTAGCAATAACATAAAATGTAAGAGGTAATCTTCTCTCATAAAAAGAAAACATATTTAAGACCAAAAAAAATGTAGGACAATCATGGGCTTCTCAAAAGTGGTTAATTCCTTTTAACTATTGGGCCATATGTTCTCATTTTGGAAGCATTATATTCAGGGCTCCCTAATAATATAAGTACTTACTATACAAAAATATCTCAAATATTTAATGTCTATAATGAAATACTCACTTCACTCATGAATCTCTAATTCTAAACCACCTCTAGCTTACTACACTCTCCTGATAAGGAAAAGTATCAACTAATTGAGATATTTTGTATAATTTAAGTTCTATAATTCATTGATTATCTTTTTTCCTTATTTTGGATTAAAAAACTATAATCATGTAGAAAAAAATATTTTCCTAGACTAAAATGCAAATTTATGTTGGTATCAAAGTGTAGAAAAAAATCTTTGTGTCAAAGTAGAGGCGTGTGATGCTTTAAATGACAGGTAAAATAAAGAAGACAGATACATCCTCCAATCAGAACTAGTTAACATCATCTCTCCTGGATTCTTTGAGCCTCTGAAGGTTAATGGAGGATGCCTATCTCAGAGTCTCCCAGACTAATTTTCTCCACCAGAATCATGCAGTTTCTCTGGCCTTTTCATTTTTTAGGGGCAAGGTATTTATTAAAGACTCAATAATCCTACAAAATAGCCACAATTACTATTTTTCTAGTATCACTTCAGAAGCTTTTAGATCAGTAAAACCCATCGCCTCATCTTCCATGCACAGCTTACTCTTCCTAACCATTACCAATTGTATACTGTTGTTTTCTCCCAAAGTGAATTAATAGAAGAAAAGGAGATTCTTAAAGGACAGTCAGAAAGCAGAGAGGGTAAGCCACGCTCCCATAATTTTGACACACAATTGGCCCGCGATCTCCCTGTGGAAAATGAAATGAGGCTGTGTGGTTATCTGTGTTCAGAATGTGCCTCTGGAGCACCTGTGGGAGCCGCCAGCCGCCAGGGGAGCATGCTGGTGATCAACTTCGACCTGGAGCCAGAGTGTCCTGACGCTGAGCTTCGCGCCATTCTGCAGTGGATCGCTGCCTCTGAGCTCGGGATCCCCACCATCTACTTTAAGAAATCTCAGGAAAACAGGATTGAAAAGGTATTGTGTTCTGTGTGTGGATAACAATGAAGCTTAGTCCCTATTTATGTGAGTTTTGACTTGTCTTAGATAAATTAATTTAGCTAACATATCTCCCTATGGTCTTTCCAACTTTATCCTCCTGTCCTGTGAAAATACAGACATAGGCTAACAAGGGAGAGGAGATCATGATTAAACACGGAAGCAGCTTGTTTTCCACCATTGACCGTGGAGTTGGGGAGCATTGAAAGCCAGCTTGAAACTAATTGTAGCCACATTTCAACTCAAAAGCTAAATTCCAAACATTCTGGGTGCCCAATGTGCTGTTAACTCCTCTCTGTTAAGTGATTTCTTCATTTTCAAACTTTCATTTTGTTTTGTACATTTATTAAAATGCTAACTCTAACTAAATGACATATATTCAAACTTGGACTGTTTTTGCTAAGTAGTTAGAGCACTGGCCTGTGTACCAAATGGTCATGGGTTCAATTCCTTGTCAAGGGCATGTGCATGGGTTGCAGTTTTGATCCCCTGCCCAGGCACATGGTCTATCTCATATCGATGTTTCTCTCTCTCGTTCTCTTCCTCCTTCCCTTCTATTCTCTCAATCTCTCTCTCTCTCTCTCTCTCTCTCTCTCTCTCTCTCTCTCTCGATGAAAAAAATATCCTTTGGTGAGGATTAACAAAAATACAACAGTCGTACATTCGAAATATTCATTGAGCACTGTTTTAGGTTCTAAGGATACAGAAAACAAAGAGACAAAATGTCCTTCCCTCTTGGGGTTTACATTCTAGTTCCAGAAGGACTCAAGGTAGGAAGGACGAGAGAGGCTCAGGTTGTAAAGACCAACCTTGAACTATGAAGGAAAATTACTCTGGACAATGGAACGAGAAACACACTGAAATAGTAAATTTTACACCGTGAGTCAAATATACTGAATCACCTAGGACATTTATTTACAATTCACATATCTAGGCTCCTTCTAAGAGTGAGGCCCAAAAATATGCATTTTTAACGACTTCCTGCAGTGATTCCCATGATCACTAGAGTCTGAGACCATCTTTCATAGGAAATACCCTGAAAGAGAGGCTGAGTTTGAGGTGGTTTTTAAGCATGCTAACTTCTAAGGCAAAGATTGCTGAGAACCTTGACACCTGATGATCTAAAACAGCTTGTAAATATAACTCACAATGACTTTGACATCAGTTCAACTGAATCCACTTATATTTAAGACAGAAAAAAGAATCATGAAAGCAAGTGGTTAAAAAAAAATAACACCAACTAATTGTTTTGTTTTTTGTATTCAAAGCATCATTAATCACTTGTTCTTTTTCTTCTTTTTAAAAGCAAAGAGCCCCTGTGAGATGCAGTGAGTTAATGACCAGCCTCACAGTAAATCAAGTGCCTTTCTCATTATTAAGCCCACTTTGAGATTATTTTCTTTTCTTGGAAGCAGTGCATAGAACAGGGGAAAGGGAGGAAACAGATGTATGCTTACCTTCCTAGGAAAGTAGGGGTCAGAAAAGAAGGAGCCTCAACTCTAATTGTTTATTTCATTTTACATACAAAGTGATGGAAGGAGAATAACAGAGAAAATGTTGATGATATTGACTGACTTCTCACAAACACTATCCTTAATTAATGTCTCAGTTTTGAAGAAGTACATAGCAGCTGCCATAAAAAAGTAGGAATTCTTATCATTTGCAGCAACCTGGATGGAATTGGAGAACATTATGCTGAGTGAAATAAGCCAGTCAATGGAAAAAAAAAAAAAAAAAAAAAAAAAAAAAAAAAAAAAAAAATGCTCTCACTCATTTGTGGATAATAAAGAACATTATAAACTGATGAACAAAAAGATAGATACAGAGACAGTAAAACAACAATCAGACTGTCAAATTACAGCGAGGAGGGTAGAGAGATATGGGGGAGATAAGAGCTCAACCGAAGGATTTGTATGCATGTATATAAGCATAACCAATGGACGAAAAACTCTGGGGAGGGAGGGCATGTATGGGAGGGAAGGGCCAATGGTAAGATATGTACATATATAATACCTTAATAAAAAAATAATAAATGAATGAATGAATAAATAAATAAATAAATGTACATAGCAAAGGAACAGAAACCAAGAAAGAATTAGATACAGTCTTAGTCAGCTTGGGCTGCTTTAAAATATCATAGACTGAGTGGCTTAGACAACAGACTTTATTTCTCACAGTTTGGAGACTGGGAAGTCCAAGTTTAAGGTACCAGCAAATTCAGTTGCTGGGGAGGACCCTCTTCCTAGCTATGTCCTCACACAGCAGAGAAAGAAGGCTCTGGTGTTTCTTCCTCATCTTATAAGGGCATGAATCCTACCAGGGGTGTCCATCCTCCTAAGACCTTAGCTAAATCTATTTATGTCCCTGAGGCCCCACCTCCTAATACTATCACACTGGGGGGTTAGGATTTCAACACATGGACACATTCAGCCCATGATAGCCTCTTGGCTTATAAATGTAAAAAATATTCTTGAACTGAATCCTTCAGTCATGGTTCTCACACTCAGTGTGTGATAGAATCACCTTGGGAGCTTATAGAGGCATTGGGGTTTTCCAAAAGGTCCCTGGTGGTCCCTGAATGTGCAGTCAGTGCTGAGAACCACAGCTTCACAGGCCATAATTGCAGCAGCAAGGTGAAGATGAGCTCACTTGTGCTTAATGAAATGGAATTCTGACTTAGAGCCAAAGAAGGTAGCCTCTTTCTGAAGTCTATGTTGAATGTTTCCAAAAAAGCAACCTGACACCGTTTGCAGCAGCTCCCATAGATTCCACCATGGGATTTTGTAAACATTCTAATTTAGTAAATGCACCGGAGAATATAAAAACCACCTGCCACATGATACTCTTCCTCAAATGCGTCTACCAATGATATACCATCACAGGATGTAAATTCTTCTAGTTTCCTAAGACAACACATTTGCTCAAGAAATGCCAGCTATGACATAAATGAAGGGAATCTAATTATTAATGATTCTGAAATGGCAGGAAAAGAATAATTTTGACTTTTATTTTTTTCAATTAATTGGAAAGAAAAGCCCAGATCCTTGACCTATGAAAACTGATTATAAAGTTACCAATGCAATAACATTGACAGGCACAATAAAATATCTAGGACCAGTTGCTAGTTTTAAAAGGCTATAGTAATGAGCTGGAAATGCTTCTTCACAAAAAAAAAAAAAAAAGCTTTGCTTTTAGCTAGAAGTTTTGTAAGTGAAGGAAGAAAAGAACGTGTAAGACCTTTCTGCTCATCAACCCTGCAGATGTTTCAAGGTCTTGATGTCTGTTAAGTCATCACTGCCTCCCAGCAGGATATATTTAGTGGGACCAGATCCTTTTTAAAAGCTGTATTATTGGAATATTGGCCTAGATTTAGAAATCATGAGACCTAATTTAGCCTGTGACTAGGTTATAGATTACTGACAATTTTGGGCGAGTCAGCACCATCCTGTGGTCATCGCCACATGGAGAGACCCTCCTTTAGCAGGTCCCAAATAGATGGCAAGAAGCTGACATTTGGCTTCTAGAAAGGTCTGTGGCAGAGAGCCTTCTATGGAAGGTTTAACAGTGAAGAAAGGTCTCGATCACTGAGCCATAGGAGGCATACACCATGACCAGCTTTTATTTTGCTCCTCGCCCACTACTTTTGCCTTAATCTAAGCTCCGTTCAGCCTTTGCCTAGATCCATGGCCTCCAATCATTTTCTTTATGTATCATATCAATATTAAACTATTAATTAAGCAGCCCAAGACTTGCATGTTTCTTTTTAATTATATCTGTGCAAATACATTACATAAAACTCAGGAATAAATACTTAGACAAGGTTCACCTGTGATGATTCTGAATGTCACTCCATATTCCAAATAGTCTTCTTGATTATTTTGAAAGTGTTTGACTTCATATGAACACTCATACCTCCTGTCAATCAGTGAATATTTACTGAATACCTATTAAGTACAGACACAAGATATTGAAAGATGGCTCAGATGCTATTCTTCTCTGAGGGATTACTATCTAGATATAACAGTGTTGCCACTCGCCTCCCGTCTGTCTCCCTTTTTATGTTATCCTGAAGCTCTTTGAGATAATGTTTATGTTTCCATGCATTGAAAGTTAAGTATTTCATTTTCCAGCCTAGAAAATTGCTTTATTCTGATTAAGCCAACACAAGGCAAGTGAGTACAATAAAGCACTGATTTCTATAACTGTGCAAATAGTTGGTGCCATCACAGCTGCAAGAAGAAACATAATTTAATAGGAACTCTTTAGAAGATGACTGCTCAGTAATTGAAATGAATTAACAAATTCAAGCTGGAAAGAAGGGAAAAGACAGAAATTAGCATTTCAGTTTTTGATTGGTCTTAAAAATCTGAGCAAATACAAAGAGAGCAGAGCAAAATATCCTAGAATGAAATCTTGAAGAAATAGTAACTAAACTACAATCCTCATCTTCTTTTTTGTTTTTATTGAATTAATTGGGGTGACTGGTTAATAATATCACATAGGTTTCAGGTGTACAATTTTATTATATATCATTTGTATATTGTATTGTGTGTTTGACACCCAAAGTCAAGTATCTTTCATTCACAATTTATCCCCACCCCTCCTTACCCTCTTCTACATCCACCCCTTTCTCTCTGGGAAATCACCATACTGTTGTCTGTGTCTAGGAGTTTGGTTTTAGTTTTGTTTTTTTGTTTTTTGCTTAATCCTTTTCCTCCCAGCTCCTCACTCCTCCCTTCTGACAGTTGTTAATATGTTCTCTGTATCTATAAGTCTGTTTCTATTTTGTTTGTTAGTAGATTACACATACATTGAGTGCCCAGATGATCTCTGAATGCATAATAATCTGGCTAATATATATTATTAGAGTCCCTGTGCATGAATTTGTGCATGGGTGGGGGTCAGCCAGCCTGGCCAGGAGGAGGGGACATGGATAGTTGGCTGGACTGCCTGCTGATCGAACTCCTGGTCGAGGGGATAATTTGCATATTAGCCTTTTATCATATAAGATTATTATACAGGATATACACTGAGTGGCCAGATTACTATGCATCAGAGATCATAATAATCTGGCCATTCTGTGTATAAGTGAAGTCATATGGCATTGTCTTCCTCTGACTAGCTTATTTCACTTAGCATAATGCTCTCCAAGTTTATCTATGCTGTTGCAAAGGGTAAAATTTCCTTCTTTTTTTATGACCCAGTAGTATTTGATTGTGTAAATGTACCACAGCTTTTTTATCCACTCATCTACTGATGGGCTCTTGGGCTATTTCTAGATCTTAGCTATTATAAATAAAGCTACAATGAGCATAGGGATGTATATATTCTTTTATCTTCTTAATAGATCATTTTTCTTCATAAAACCCCAGCCAGTCCTTTCTCCCAGTGCTCCAAATAAATAACAATGCCATATTCTCCTACCACCAAAATGTAGCTAGGTTCTAGAATAGAAATTTCACTGGACTGGCTTGCTAGAAAACCATTCATTGTGTTACCAACTTTTCATCTCTCAAACCCTCAGTTTTTTCATCTGTCTGTGCCTACTTCATAAGATTGTTGACAGAACTGAATGAGATTACATACATAAAAGTACTTCCTAGAGGTTTGAGCTTTTAATAATTGTTGTTTTTTTTAAGTATCTTACTAAAGAGTTTGGAAGATCTTCAGGTTGGGCTCCATCCCAAAGTATCATGAAGGCAATGATCTATAACCATTTTTCCATCTTCAAACCCTTTAGCTCACAATTTATCTGTACTCGAAAGCTTTCTAGATTGTGGTCCATTGAAGCTGGTACCAATAATAAGGAGATAAATCTAGGATGTTTCCTCAAGCTTTTCTTTTCCTGTTTCAATGAAAATCCAGTCTCACTTACTCAGTGTTTGATGATGGGAGAGGTAAATTTCCAAGATGGAATGAAGAACCAGTAGAAGACCCCATGCGAAAGTTTGGCACTTGATTTACTAGATTTAAATGTATACATCCATTGAGAGATTATTTGTGACACAAATAGAAAGGATTAGGAACCTTACTATACAGAACTGTCAGAGAAAATCTATTCCAGAAAAAGCAGACCAGAGGAAACCATTTAAGTGTTTAAAAGATAGACTCTTGAAAGATTTCCATCTAGTCTCTCTCAATCAATGAATAGCAACTGCTGTGAGGAAAATTCCAGTTCAGTTGAAAGAACACTCCAATGAACTGAACTGTCTAGAATGAAAATGGATTGTTCTGGAAGATAGAATCATGGCACCAGAGATTTTTTAAACCAGCCTGCAGAGCTGTTGGCTTTGGAGGAGTGGTTGAATGAGATGGACTTTGAGGATCCACTGTGCTTTGTGAGTTCTAATTCTGTGCTTTACTCTAGTTTCTAGATGTCGTGCGGCTGGTTCACCAGAAGTCCTGGAAAGTGGGGGACATCTTCCACGCCGTTGTTCAATACTGCAAAATGCGTGAGGAGCAGAAAGATGGGGCCCCGAGTCTCTTTGACTGGCTTTTGGGACTGGGATAGGCAGCTAAGCCCTGTACAGTATTCCTTTTCTTTATTCCACTTTAGGTTATAGTGACTTGTTCTGAATGCTCTAAACTTTCTCAAATGTTGCATACCATTAGCAGAGCTATACAAATATCTGCTGTTCTAGGCTACAAATCAATACAACTCTGAGTGAGTTCAAAAGAGTTTGTATGAGAGTGGCTGGAACACTGAAACTTTTTGAGGATTGAAATTAAAAGCTGATAGTCTTAGTCAGTTTGGCTCAGAGGATAGAGCATGGGCCCTCAGACTGAGGGTCCCAGGTTTGATTCCTGTTGAGGTCACATAACTGGGTTGCAGGCTCGATCCCAGTTGGGGAGCATGCAGAAGGCAACCAATAGATGTTACTCTCTTTCTGTCTCTCTCCATTCCCTTCCACTCTCTCAAGGAATCAATGGGAAAATATTCTCAGGTGAGGAATGACAAAAAGAAAAAAGAAAAAAACACCTTATAACTAGCCCCAATCTCTAAGATAGTGGCTATTGCATATTTTTATAAGATAAAAATGTGTAATGTTTCCAATTATGTGGATCAACTGGAAACAAAGTCACTGGTCAAAATAATTTTGTAAACTATGTGGTATCCTTTATGTAACTTTTTTTTTTTTTTAGCAGATTACAGGGGTGTCAGCCCAGGTGAACACAAAATATAAGTGGGAAATTTCCAGAACTTTGATATAAAAATTTTCCATCTTCAGACTAATATCAGTGAATGTTAACAGAAATGTAAGAGTATCATCAATATCTTTTACTGAAGTAATTTTATTTATTTACTGCAACCCAATGATAACTATACCTGCATTCCTAACTAATCAGAAAACTGTTGGTATTCAGCTGAGATCAAAGATTCTCTTGTTTCCATCTTTACTTTAGGTGATTAACATGGTTACAGAATTCTTACCCTAAGGACAAGCTTTCCCCAAAAAACATAGGAAAAGTCTTTTGAGATAAAATCTGCTTGTTCGTTAAATTATATAAAATATAAATTTCATTTTATTACTATATTAAATTGTGAAGAGATTATCTTAAATAATATGTTGGATTATCTTAGAGAGCCATAAAATCTGAAAAGATTGTTGTCTTAAGTCACATATATTGACACTTGAGCTCAGTGGTTTCATTATAAATGTGCTGGTCCCCCTATGGCCGACCTGCTACTTGGATGGCGTTCATACTGACAGAAGCAGGACTTGACATAACCAGTTAGGACCATACACTCTTCTGGATCCAAAGATATTGTTGTTTAATTTGGGAAAAGAAAACCTTATTATATTTAAGTATTTTAGTAGCAGAGATTTAGTCTTTCTGAAAATGAGAGTAGCTAACTTCTCCCTAATAAGTCTCCTTTCCTTTCAACTAAATGAGTTACACTGGTTTTTATTTTCTTGATCAAAGAAGGTGTTTATTAAAGATTTCCTAAAATACTATGCTTTTACACTATTTTTAGAGATGGTGAAGTAATTTTAAATGGAAACAAGGCCCCACACCAGGAAAGGCCCCAGTAATACTGGCCTGATGTGTCATCCATGTCTTAAGATGTCAAGAAAGTTTCATTGTAAGCCACCCTTCCCTTCCCACCATCACCCCATAAATCCGTCCTACTACTCATTAGGCACTTATTATATAGGTAGTCCAAATCTAGGTTATTCATGGAATTTGACACATTAATCAACTGTCAAATTTTAAAATTTATTCATCATCTCAAGCTGCAAATTCTTTGTGCTATTAAATGAAAAAGGATCTATTTATTTTTAAACAATCTCAGAATATTGTGTGTACTTTTGTTGTGCTCTAATGAATGTTTACGTATCCTACAAAGCACAAATATTGGATTGTAACCATGTGATGAAGTTATATGTGTTGTACTGAATGTTGCAAACAAATCAATAAATTTTCATTGTCAAATCTCTTGTTCTTTTTTCTCCAAGACCTCGAAGGAAAAATAGTCACAGTGTAATTGGAGAAAGATAGATATATCCTTTAGATAGGTTTTGCTGACCCACTGTCAGGTTTTGAGTAATTACATGGTCTTTGATTAAATTTGTTAGGAGCATTAATGTTCATGTAAATCAGCCTTTCTCAACCTTGACTCAATTGACATTTGGGGCTGGATGACTCTTTGATGCAGAGCATTGTCCTGCACATTGTGGAATGTTTAGCAGTACCCCTGCCTCCTACCCACTAGCCAGTTACCACTTCCCCAGTTATGACAACCAAGCATGTCTCCCAGCATTGCCAAAGGTCCCCTGTGGAGCAAATCGCCACTGTGTTGAGGACCACTGGTGTAAGTAAGGCATTGAAGAGGCAGAAACTGAGACTCTAGGATGCATGAGGGTAGAGGAGGAGGAGCTTATAGCCCCTCATCTGGGGAGTCCAAACAAGAACCTGAAAACCAGACATTGTCTCCCCCAGCCTCCCAAGGCCCCTGGACTGTGACTTTACAATACATCAGAGGGATGGAAAAAAAAGGCATAAGACAAACAGGGAATCTCCAGGCCTGAAGATAAACCCACCTAGACTCAAGTAAACTAGAGGTAAACTATAGGTCTTACAGGTAAATGGATCAATGCTTTGAATTTAGGAAATAAATTATTAGAATTTATGCCATAAGTCATTGAGGCCCCTGAGCACCTTATTCAATACTCAGAAGATATGAATATGCTTACATAAAGGCAAATTCTCATCAGTCAGAGAGTCATGCCAAATAAAAGCAAACTCTGGACAGTGGCAAGGAGACTTTATTTTAAAGGATTGTTACAAAAAGGAAAAGGAACTGTTGCGATGGTGGCTGGGGGTTATTGCAATGACGGGAATGTTCCACTGTGAGATATGCAAGTGTCTCAAAGGGGTTTATTTTATAGAGATGAGTAAAGACTAGGAAGAACCAGTGTGCAGAGTAGGATGGACAAGATGAGCCATGGAAGGTGGCACAATGGGACAGAGCAGCCTATTATCAGGAGGGGCTCCTTCAGGAGAGGCCCTATGCTGCATTAGGCTGCGGATAGGTCACAGTACAGGGGCCTGGAGAACGAAGCTATAGGGATTACACTACCTGAACTATACTGCAAGGCTATCTTAATCAAAACAGCACAGTACTGGCATAAAAACACACATAGATCAATGGAACAGAATAGAGAGCCCAGAGATAAACCCATGCCTGCATACAGTTAATTAATCAATAGCAAAGAAGACAAAAATATACAATGGGGTAAAAACAGTATATTCAACAAATTGTGCAGGGAAAACGACAGATACATGCAAAAAGAGAGAGAGAAAGAAAGAAAGAAAGAAAGAAAGAAAGAAAGAAAGAAAGAAAGAAAGAAAGAAAGAGAAAAAGTAGACCATCTTCTCACACTATATACAAGAATAAATTCAACATAGATTAAAGATAAAAAATGTATGTCCCCAAACCATAAAACTTCTAGAAGAAAATAGAACAGTGAACACTAAAATTGTTCTTAGTAATATTTTTTTTTGTGATATATCTTGAGCAAGGAAAACAAAAGAAAAATAAACAGATGGGACTACATCAAACTAAAAAAGTTTTTGCACAGCAAAGGGAACCATGGACAAAATGAAAAGACAGACTGCTAAATGGAAGAAGATATTTGCCAATGATACATCTGATAAGGGGTAAATATCCAAAATTTATTAATAACTCAGACATCTTAACACCAAAACACAAACAATCCCATTAAAAAATGGGCAGAGGACCCAAAGAGGACATAGAGATAAGCCAATACATAGATGAAAAGATGCTCAACATCACTAATCGTCAGTAAATTGCAAATTAAAACCACACTGGCACCATTGGCAAGCACCTAGTAGGCAATGGTGAGAACAGAGGTTGAAGAGTTAACTCTGCTCCAAAGAACAGAAGTGACAAGGAGCCAATACATCTTTAATATCTGAGTGTTTCCTTTCAATCCCACCCCCGTCTCTCGAGCTATTTTCCCATCCTTGGCTAAGATTCCAGTATATTCCCTCATGAGCTTTCCTGAACTTTCTCCAACCCTTGCTGTCCCTGCAGATACATTTACTTACCCTGCATGAGCACATGGTTTGGTGACACCAGAACTCACTGTTGCCTGAGGCATGGAGTCTTGTCTTTTAGAATGACAGGGTCAAAGCTGCCATCATCAGAATTCCTCTGACTAATGAATAAATATTTAACAATAAATAAACGTATTCCAGGATGAAAATGAATTTTTTTGACTAAGCAAGAAGGCTTTGGGAAGCCCTTAAATTGGAAGTTATGACACCAGCTAATGAGCATCTGACAGAAGTCCAAGCCTGTCACACACTGAAGATTCTGGAAACAGAGAACAGCCTGGCATGCTGCTGCCCAATGTTAATTAGCCAACATTTTCCTAATGATTCTCCATCTGGGCTCCTTGTTCAGACCCATGTAGTTCATTTGAGTATGGAAAAAAGTTACAGTCCAGAATTTTGAGGAAATTCAGATTCAGAGGCATGAGAGGACCTAATCAAGTTATCAGAATATCCTATCTAATAAAAAAGTAATATGCAAATTGACTGTCACTCCAAAACAAGATGGTGTCCCCTATGTAATCAAATATGGCTGCCCTCATGTGGACACAAGATGGCCACCATAAGATGGCCATCAAGGGAAGGTAGTTGAGAGGGAACAGTCCTGCAAGGGAGGGCAGTTGGGGATGATCAAGCCTGCAGAGGAAGGCAGTTAGGGGTGACCAGGCCAGCAGAGGAGAGCTGTTGGGGGGAACCAGGCCTGCAGGGAAGGAAAGTTGGGGGGGAGAAGGGGGACCAGCCCTGCAGGAAAGGGAAGTTGGGGGTGACCCAGGCCTGCAGGGGAAGGCATTAGGGGTGACCAGGCCTGCGGGGGAGGGCATTAGGGGTGTCCAGGCCTGCGGGGGAGGGCAGTTAGGGGCGATTGGGCTGGCAGGGGAGCAGTTAGGCATCAATCAGGCTGGCAGGGGAGTGGTTAGAGAGTGATCAGGC